GTGTCCACAAGAATCATGTGACCATAATGGACCTATATTTCTAAATCTAACCTATATAATGGAAAGTAGAAAGAAAAGTTGCTCTTTCTACTGCTTGGCTCCATCCTTCGGGTCAGACCATGCCCTGTGACTGTAATAAAGAGTATGAATGATCAATGCTAATTCTCCTTTCTCGACATTACACCATTAGAGAAGTCATGGGGGATTTCTCCAAAATTGCCCTCACGCAGTGTTAAACAACATATATATTTTTGAAGGTGTTACTGAACCATGTGTGTGCAGAGTCTGCAATCCAGAGAGTTTTGTGGTTTAGAAGCATGGCTGCTTCTGATTGTTTCTGACCACGTGTTCTTCTTTAACTTCACCAAAATGTTGGTTGGTTTCAATGAGATTATTTTCTGTGGGAATTCCGGTCTTGAGACTGTGTTCTTTGTCCTCAAATGATCTTCTGCTAAAGTTGATCTTCTGGGGTGATTCTGTGCACTAGAGGAAGTGGTTACAAAGGTCTAAATATTCTGGGCATCTGACACACAGCAATCGCTACCAACTTGTTTCTGAGGTTGTCACAGTTTAGCATCTTGCTATAACAGCTGTGAGTTTTCTTATTAAGAGAGTGCCTCTTTACCTGTCTTTGCACTTCCCTCGGTGGGTTCTGTTTTAGTAAATAATCTGATGTCATCCTTCTGATTCTTTTTCTCAGCCACAACAAAAAATGATAGCGAGATAGTTTATTCCAAACAGTGAGTGGACTCAGGAAAATTTGTTAGGAGCCAACGTGGTTATTTTGACATTAACTCGTCTTGTGCCCGGTTTATATTTTAATGAGCACTCCTTGTGTGCACAGGATATGGGTATTTGGGGACACAAAGACTAAGGAAGAAGGGCTTTTTCCCTTGAGAGATTCATGTTTTAAAAGGAGCTTAAGTTGTAACTGAGTGGAGGAGTAAGAAGGTGCCATGGAGGAGGTGCTGAACGTGCTCTCAGGGGCACAGAGAGGAACATACCCTTGCAGAGGGTCGAATGATAACATGTTCTTTGACTATAATCTTATCCTCATGATAAGCCGCTAAAATTGAGTAGAATTTCTTCATTAAGGAAAAGGCAGCAGAGAAAGAAATTATAGGACTGTCACAGATCCCTTCTCACTCTATAAATGTGTAAGGTAAACTCGAGTAAACACATTAATGTAACTTTTAAATGTCCCTCTAATCAGAGTCATATGTATCTTTAACAATATTTCTCAAACTTGTTATGTTTATTTCAGAGACGGGGGGCACTCACAGAAATTCGTGAGGAGCCAGATCTGTTATTTTTCATTCTAAAAGTAGAAGAAATATTGCAGATCTACAATGTTGACTTTAACCACTTTTATTTTAATGAAATATAAATGCCTACCAATATAAGATATTTATAAACTTCTTATCCTTACAGCTTTTATAAACTATCAAACAAAAAGACATACAAATTAAGCAAAAACTAAAAAAGTCAAAAATACTGAATTAATGATATTGATATGAGAAAATTTTGTTTTTCAAAAGCTACATCACAATATTGAGACCATTGTCAGTGGAAAGATACATTTGTGCTTTTTGTTTCGCTTATTTTTGACTTGATTCCTTTGATACTGCATCTGATGGTCCGTCACATGCATTATCATGGTCATCGTTTCTCCTTCTCAACAAATAGCTTATTTTTGTCTACTGGTTCATTGTTTTCACAAGTCAATTCATTTAGTGCTATACCCCAACTACAATACTGAAGAAAAAATACACCATTCAATTACCCTTGATGATCCAACCACCACTTTTCTATATGCAAACTATTACAAAATTTTTGTTCCTAGAATAAGCCATGACATCTGTTATGCTATATTTAGCATAAACCCATAGTTTACTTTTTAAATCCATTTCTTTTGTTTTCTCTTTAGCCTATGGTAATATGTTTTGATCTTGAAGAATCAAAAGCTATCTCTAAGAGTTAAGCACAGCTTATCTCCTTAGTCTGTCATCACAGTGAATCCAGGCAAACAGAACCAAACCAGAAAACAGACCGCTGAGCTCTCCCCTCCACTTCCCTAACTGGCAATGTATATGCGTGACCTTGCCTCACTTCATCATTTTCATTATGCAAATTAATACTGCAAAAGAAAAGGTTTGCCTTTCTAATGGGTAAAAGAATTGTGTGTGAGAGGCAGATGGGGACTGTTGTTCTTCTATCTAATGTCAAGGCCCTGCTGACTAAGGGCGTGCTCACCAGCACTTTGAAAGTTCATCTCTGGTCACTTGGCACCAGCTGTCTTGTAAATGCAAACATGGGAGCCGAAGTTACATGGCAGTGTTCAGTTGTAAATGTCATCCAGATTATCCAAAATATGCTTACCTCAATTTTAGCAGTTTGGATCACCAAAGTGAAAACACAAAATTTTTAAATTCTCACAGATCTCGAGATTATGTCTGCAGATTTCTAGTCGACAGAGACACCAGTTTGAGAAATACTGATCTGTAGAACATTAGGCAAATTCCTGATAACCGAGAAGTAGTTCCTGTGTGGGTTTTTTTTTCTCAGAAAAGATTGGTGACATTTCTGAGGCTATCTGCTGACTTCTCTCTCTTCCTCAGCCTTGACCTGCTCTCTGGACAGTCAGTAAGCCAATGCTTTCTTTGTTTCTACATGAAAGGACTTTGTAGGAGTGGGTATACGGCCTAAGAGTTCAGTTAAGTGAATGGAACGGTTTAAATATTTTCATATAATCCTAGAATTGCCCATTGACTTTCCTCCACTGCACCATGAACTCTTTGAGAAAGGGACTGTGTCTTACACCCTGTTGGATTCCCAGGGTGTGTACCGTGCCCAGCACTTAGTAGGTACTCAGAACACATTTGCTGAAAAAATGAACGAATATAAGAAAAGTATTTAGTGGTACGATGTACATCAGATAACATGTTCCAGGGTCTTGTTCCTGGAAGCATATGACCCATAGCCTGTCATTGTGATAAATTAGCTGCCTGATAGAAAACTAGTCTCAGCCTGCCTGTGGTATGTTCTCGCCTGAAGAATCAGACCAGTTGCCATCGCTGCCTGATAGTTAGGACCTGGAAAGTGATGAAAAGTTTCCCAATTGGCCTGTTTCCTCTGGTGTCTTTCCCTTTCCTTTCCTCAGCCTGTCATCCTTGTGACTCAGGAAGCTATGATCTTTTCCTTATTCACAGGAAGCGTTCGGGCCGCAGTCCAGAGCATGCTGTCTTTTCCTCCCTCAGCCCACTCTGTAGCTCCAGTTAGGGAGGTGGAGGCGAGCGCTCCGCTGTCTGTTTTCTGGTTTGGGTCTGTTCGCCTGGATTCGCTGTGATGATAGACTAAGGAGATAAGCTGTGCTTAGTTGGAGATAGCTTTTGATTCTTCAAGATCAAAACATATTGTTACTGACCCTTACAAGAGTACTTCTTTGGTTAAGTTACTATTCTCTTTTTCAACAGGATAACTCTTCTCTATTTTAGCTTCTTTAAGCCAACTTTTAATCTCTTATCAAAAAATCATTCACCGGATAAGGGGCATTGGTTGCCGTCATGTGCTTCACACATGTGAATGTAACACTTGAGGGAAAATGTTCTACCTGGTTTGAGCCTTCAAACTGAAATAACTTTAAGCAGAGAGGCTGGCCTTTCTCTTCTGGACCGGTTCTTTACATGCACATCTGCCATTCGTGGTATATATGTCTACTGGCAATGAAGGACAGGAAAGGAAATGTGGCAATACCAAAGATTAGATGCTTCATAAGCTAACATATTGTGTAAATGGATCTAGCCAGAAAGAGCTGAGGACTGAACTCTGTCCTAGTAAGCCGTGTGGCTGAGGGCAAATCATTTGACTTTTCTGTGCATTAGGAAATTTTTCATCTCAACAGTTAAACCTTGCCTTCCCTCTCATTGCCTTCAAGCCTGTAACCAATCAAGAAGACAATTTGGAATTTGAAAATATAAAATGCAGTGGAACTTTTTGAAAATATCAGACAGAAAAGCAAGATGTTCTATAGATAAGAACTAAGTCTAAATAAATACTTACATCAGAGACTGACATTTTATTTTACAGTATACAGGAGTCAGAATATGTGGCATTAGCACTTAGAGTAAAATGGCATACTTGCGTTGGCCCCTATGTTCCTGTCAAATGTAGTGCTTTCAGTACCATAGTTTATGTTATTTTTTATAATTCGCATAAAAATTAACATGTGTGCTTTAAAATAGTGTGATTGAAATGAGAGGAAGCAACTAAGAAATTTTTTTTAATTGTATTCATAGAAAGAATTAAAAATAGTGACATGATGACTGAGCAAACAAAAAGAAAAAACTGGTGTTATCACATATATCTATAATAAAATAATGGTAGAGGTATCTCACATTGTTGTGTTTGATATGTGTATGTATAAGTATATATACATTTGCAAGAATCTACACACAGTCTTTTTCACCCCCGTAGTAACTGAAAGTGTTTCAAGCTTTCAGTTATTTGAAAGAGCTGTATTCTTTTGTGTTGAATATATAAAAGCATAGATCCTGTATGCTTCCAAGTGAGAATGTGCTCATCACACATAATTTAGAGGTATACCCTCAGGAAAACAGATGAATATCCCTACACACTTCCTTTTTGGAATGACAGGGAATCAACCTGAATGGTCTGGACTCTTGCTTAGAGTCAAGCCCACAAGAGGCTTTAACTCAAAGCAGACACTGAGTTTTATTGGTTGGATGGTACTGCTGCCTATAATATACTTGAGCAGCAAAATGCTGAAACCTATAAAAGAATTTTTTTGCAATGTTAGAACTGGGTGATGTTGATGCTCACGAAGTCTTTCTTGAAGACAAGGACCGTGTCTCTTGAATGTGTATTCCTGGCTTATCACACAGTAGCTGCCATGTATTCTTTTTTAAAATGGTGCCTAAAGCACTGAGTTATGTCCCAAAAGTCTACCACATATATTTTGAGCTGTTTCTTTGCTTGAATAGGGAGAAGATCCAATTTATTCGAACTGAAGGGACCCCAGGATTGGTGCGTCTTTCAAGTGATGCAGACCTTGTTATGCTGCTGAGGTAAGTAATGCTAGTTCTTGTGGAACGTCTCCTGTCATCAGATATTGTGGAGCTTTTTAGCAAATAATATGCCAAAATTGGTTGCCTAAAGATATCTCCTTTATTCTTAAAGATTTATGGAATACTCATGTTGAAGATGTAGGGTGCTGGTTTAGAGAGAATTCATTTCAGATTGCATTTCTTATTTCTGAGATCTGTTTGATTTTGTTTTTACTTTACTGGTAAAGGAGGTGGTATGGGAGAAGGGAAAGGTTTGTAGAGGCCAATGAATAGAATGTCCCACTCACAGAATGGAACAGAAGGGCTTATCCCTCCAGCTTACCCCTCCAGAGGAGAAGAGAGGTCATATTTATATTTTCTTTCAAATTATTTTCTCAAAATGTGCTTTGTCCCCTTTTGTTGATTCAACATGATTTATTTACTTTATGGTTTTGAGAGTTTAGATTTGGGAAATCAGATAAGAAAGTTGAAATTTGGTCATTGGTACTCACTGCCAACTTGATAGCCCCTTTCATAAGACTGACTAATTGTATTTTCTTTCCTGATGGTTAGATCAGCTTTGGTTTTAAAGTTTAGGGTAGTTTGAAGGGAAACTGGCAAGTTTTCAAAAGACTTCCTCATTTTTAATAATATCCGTCAAATGTAGGAGGCCAGAGTGAAATACTGCTTTGCTCCCTCCAGTGGCTGGGACGCCCACCTCTGTAACCTCCGTAGAATTAAAGGGAATGCATGCGGAGCCGTATCAGGCCATGTTCTGCTTATCCCAAAGTGCTGACAATCTCGTTCGTGTTGTTCATGATGACCGTGACCCTAACCATTTCTAACTGCCATATTTGTAAAACTAAAGCCAGAAAGTTATTTTCCTTCACTGTATAGTTGGAGCGTAATTCAAAGGGATATAATCACTTTCCCTAGATACTTCACTTCACTTGACCCTGAACAAGACCTGCTGGGGAGTGAGGTCCCTTCTTAGTGTAGGAGGTGACCTCCGACTATGGGGTACTGAGCTGGTTCTGAAAGCAGGGTGTAGTGTGCTGGATGGTCAGGAAGATTATTGGTCTATTAACGTGGAGTGTGATGTTTCTACCATAGTTGGGTTGGTGATAAAATAGTAAGTTTTGTTACAAAATTCTGCCTAGGATATGACTCTTTCACTTCATTCTAGAAATCTAAGTTTTTTCATTTAAACTAAAGAATTCTGCTTTTGGAATTAGTAAAAACAAAAATGGGTACAAAACAGAAGTCATGATTATCGCTCACCTGTCCTTAGTTAAATAATTTTTAGATGGTATAGTCTTAAATATTTTGTCACAAATAGCTTAGAATATTTGTACTTTGGTAAACACCACAGTTTGCATGAGTTTCTTTGTGTTATGTGTTAACTGGGAAAGTATATTCACAACACATAAAACAAAGATATCATGAATACATAAAGAATGCCTTCAAATCAATTTAAAAGAAGAAAACCCAAAAGAAAAACGGGTAAGGGATATAAAAAGGCATTTCATAGAGCTTGAAGTTTGAATAGCCAGTAAACTTATGGAAAGATGCTAATAATCATAAAATGCAATTCAAATAATGAGATACTATTTCACACTATTAGATTTGAAGAAGTTAAAAAGTCTGATAATACCAAAGGAGAAACAGGAACTCTCATGTTGTCTGGATTTGGTGAGATTTCAATTTCTACAGCCTCTTCATAGTACAGTTTGACAATATCTTATATAGTTGAAAAGGCATAAGCCTTATGACTGAGCAACTCTGCTGTTAGATATATACCATATTTACGCTAAGAAACTCTTTTACATGTACACAAAGTGACATATACAGAATGTTCCATTGCACCATTATTGATAAAAGCACAAAGTTGGGAAAAAAGTAAATATTTGTCAAAAGATTTAGGGATAATAAACAGATTTGTTCGTAGAATGGACTTCTACATAGAAGGTAAAAGTAATCAACTAGATCCTTATGTATCAACATAGATATCAGAAATATATTGTGAACAAAAAAAGGTTTGAGAATGCTGTGTACTTACATAGCATTTATGTAATTTTTAGCAGTGCTTAAGGCGAAACTATATATTGTTCATCTATACATATATGTTGCAAAATATAAAATTAGGGAAGGGAAGGAATGATACTTATAAAGTCATGATAGAGAACAAAAGGGACTTCCTATACACACATGCACACATACATATACATCTATATGTAGATATATACAGATCTATAAGTATGCATGTATGTTTGTCTGAAGCAAAAATCGTAGTTTTAACATTTATTAATCCTGGATGACATTGAGTGTTTTTATATTATTCTATGTCACTTTTGTCTTAAAATTTTCAAGTACAAAAATTCCTGTCCATGTGAAAGATTTCTGAGTATTGGGTATATATAAAGGACATGATAAATGTCATGGAGCAAAGAGACAGCTATAGGAGTCTGAGGCGAGAAAGCTAATTCCTCCTCTTCAGTTAGTGTAGCTGTAGGTTTCTAGACCTTTGTGGTATCACAAAGTGATACATGGGTGTTACACAGGACTTTTCCTTAGCAATAAATTCGCATTATTACAATGGCTGTTGATTTATTGGAAAAGAAAACTGACTGTTTCAGGGCTTAATTTGGTATTAGAAACATGATTACTTACTGCTTCTGTTCCCAAATCTTTTGCCTTTTGTAGTTTAAAAGTGGAAAGATGGCTTTAAAAAATATCATGCTAAAAATGCTTTTGCTGCAGTGGTGTAGCAGACGTGTGCCTGTGAACGAAGAGCCAGAGAAAGAATTATAAAGTGTTATTGCATCGCTGTCACCCAGGGTTTCTCAGTCTCAGAAGGATTCATGTTTTGGGCTGGATATGTCTTTGTTGCAGGGAGCTATTCTGTGCATTGTAAGATACTTACTAGCATCCTAGGCTCTATCCACTAGATGCCAAAAGCACCCCCCTCCCAGTTACAACAACCGAAAATGTCCTCAGACATTGCCAAATGTCTCGGGACAGTGTAGGGGAAGGGCAAAATTGCCTCAGTTTCGAGCCAGGACTATACCCCTTAGGAGTCCTTTCCTTAAATGTGTGTAAGATTAAACTGTTGCCCCTTCTTCTGAATGTTTTCTGAAAACAGTAACAGGCTTTTGGATTTGGCCAAGTTTGAGGAAAACCTGCTTCTGCCTCTTAATTAAAAATGTTGGCCCCGTGGCCTAATGGTTAAGCTCGCACGCTCTGCTTCGGAGGCCCAGGGTTTCACTGGTTCGGATCCTGGGTGCAGACCCAGCACTGCTCATCAGGCCATGCTGAGGCGGCATCCCACATAGCACAGCCAGAGGGACCCACAACTAGAGTATACAACTATGTACTGGGGGGCTTTCGGGAGAAGAAGAAGAAAAAAAAAATCACATGTCCTCTAATTTTTATTGTTTTAATTCTATTTTGTCAAGTGTTTCTATATTTGAGCTTAGTGCGATTAATAGTACTTTTCTTTATCATAATATTTAGTGAAAAGTCTTGGATTCCAAGATCTCAGATCCCTGGTTACTATCTTTTAAGAGAGTATTAGAAACAGAAATTTCAATATGGAGGAGAAAGAAGACATTGGGTTGAATAATCTAAGATCAAAATCCTCACATTTGAAAACCATTATAAAGCCAGAGTAAATAAGAGAGCTAATTGTTTAGCAGTTGTTACTATTTAGGAGGTGTTTTGTTTTATTTTTTAATAATCCAATTAAATCCTAAGCTCTTTGAAAGCTGAGACCCTGTTGTATATCACTTGAAATAAAGATAGAGAACACATGTTGTGTATTTATTATGGGTTCTCTGTAAACATTGTGTGTTTGAATCTCATTCCCAAATCTAAAAACCCAGGTACTATTTTCAAATGAACATGTCTCAAACTCACATATTTAAGAGGCAAAATTGAAATCATGTTGTCCAAAGTTGGTGGGAAAACAGGCGAATAACCACAGGTTTCACAAAAGCTGCAGCAGCGGGCCGTTTTGTCCCAAGGATTACCTGCAGGAGAAAGGGGCGATGCTCCCTGTGGGGTGTGAACTGGAGCTCGGATGGATTGGGGTCAGAGTGGGAGATCGACTGTCTTCCTCGTTGTGAAAACAAGGCTTTCCCTCCTAAAGTATGCACTTTGTTTCTTATCTTTCCCCAGTTTATTTGAAGAAGAGATAATGTCATATGTGCCTCCACATGCCTTACTCCACCCCAGCTACTGTCAGTCCCCACGTGGCTCCCCCGTGTCCTCTCCCCAGAACTCGCCAGGTGAGTCCCTGTGCTGCTTGCTGTGAATTCTCTGAGGGGTGAGCCCCAAAGTCAGACAGTCTGTCCCTCACGTAGGACGGTAAGGGAACACTTTGGACACATCTTTAGTGTTAGTACAGGTACACATTGTGCGGCACTTCCTTTCTCTTAAAACTGGCTTGTTTCCATGGAGATTCATTTTGACAAGAAGATAATGACATTCCAGAACAGGAGGATAAATATTAGTAGTATGATATACTCAGATATAGAATTTACTTTTCGTTATGATGTATAGTACCTAATATATCTTGGAAAATATTAGGGCATAAAATACTAAGTTAGCTTTTTGGATTTAAAAAGTATTAGTTAGGAGACTTATTCAATGAATAATAAAAAGAAATCTCTACTTTCAAAAACTTATAGAATTAAAATTAGTCAGTTTAATGGACTCAGGTAGTTTTCCCCTGCAGTAGTCACAAACTGCATGAGACGGGAAGACTGAAGGTGTGTGGGCAGATCGAACTCATTGACAGATGAAACTAACTAAAACTAAGTTCACATTCTTTTTGAAAGAGGTATGGTGTGAATGAATGAGCGAATGGATGAATGAATGAATGAATGGTAGAAAATGCAGCTTAGCAAATGAGGTTTTTTAAAGGAAAGCAGTCATGATGTTGCAAGGATATCAGTTGTATTTATCATTATAGGCAATGTATTGCTCACACTTTATTAGCTATCAGAATTTAAAACTATTTTAATAGAAATCCACCTCCTTATGTGTCACTAGAAGCTGCTGTATGTTCTTTTATATATAGCATGTGTTTTCACATATATATACATGATAACGAAGCTGCAGCCTAATTGAATACCGCAAACAGGAAAAGGTCTATTAATTTGTTCATTTAACACAGATTTATTGAGCATCCAACTATGATCCAAGCACTGAATTAGACCCTGGTGTTACAACGATGAATAATATACAGTCTCTGCCTTTGCAGGATTCATAGTGGGGCACTGAGTCAACAAATGACTGTAAAGCTCTGTGGTTGACCCTGTAGTGAAGAGATGTACGGGAACACAGATGTGGGGACAATTCCTCCTTCAAGAGGGGGGTGGGGTGTTTGGGGAAAGACGAAGACAACAGGTACGAAGGGGAGCCTTGAAGGAGGATGAATAGGAGTTTCCGGGTGGACCAAAGGAAGAAGGGCATTCTAGGTAAAGGAGTAGCATAAGCTAAGCCACAGAAGCATGAGGAGTAGTTTAGGACAAATTAACAGATACAAGTGAAGACAGGTTCTCAAAGCTCACGTTGGAAAAATCGCCTAGGGCTGGCTGGTCATGGAAGCCTTACTTTGTAGTCCATGTGGAGCCACTCAAAATTTACAGAATCATATCCTGTTTGACAAAGTTCAGTTTGGTTGCAATATGGAGCATGTATTAGGTGAGAGCCTGGAGTCAGAGAACCTATTTGGGAGGCTGTTGCATGAATCGAGGTGGCATGATAAAGGGCTGGACTAATGGTGATGGAGAAGAGAGAATTAATTCAAAGACTATCTAGGATGTAGAGACACTAGGATGTAGGACTTGGAGTCCAGGTAGGGAAGAGTCAAGACAGACTCTGAGGTCCTCACCACCTAGACTGCTAGGCAGATGGTAACACCATTCACTAAGAGAGGAAAAGGATTAGACTGGAGGGGAGGGGTTACATGAGCTTGGTTTTGGACATGTTTTTTTGAGGAATCCTTGGGCCATCCAACTGGTGATACCCAGAGACAACTGGAAAAGACAGTCATGGCGCTCAGGAGAGGTTAGCAGCTAGGAAAACAAGTATGCTGGTGGCTGGTGAAGCCCAGAGGGTAGAGTAGAGGAATGAGGGAGGACAAGTCATTGAAAAGGAGAGAAAATAGGATGGTGACAGGAGGAACTCTAATGTTTAAAGAATGGGCTGGGATAGAGGAGCAAGTGAAAGAAAGAGAGCCAGTGGATTTTGGAAGAGACTTAGGAAAGTCTTTGCAGGAGGCCAGGTTCCAAAGAGATGGGAATGGTTAACAGGGCCAAATGCTCAAAGGATTCAAGAAGGGTGAAGTCTGAAATGAGGCCGTTAGATTTGAAAATCATGAAGTTAAATATGGCTTTTGTCAAAGCAGTTTCTGTTAATTAATAAATAGGTCATAAACTGGAATGTGACCAGTTACAGAATGATATAGGATGTGAAGTAGCCGCCAGGAGTGTAGAATATTCTTTTCATGAAGTTTGGAAGTGAAAGAAAGCAAAATAAGATAGTACTTAGAAGAAGAAGAGTTAAGGAAGAGGTTTTAGGATGGGGAAGCTGAGCACGGGTGTGTGCAGAGGTCAGAAGATGTGGGTGGAAGGAAAGATGGTCACTGAATGGGGCAAAGAAGCAGCAGTCAACGCAGCAGAGGCCTGTGGGAAGGGAGGACACTGGAGGCAAAAGCACAGGACAGCTGGAACAAAGTAGGGACACCTATTTTGATGATACAGGATGAAAAAAATAAATATATGACACTACGGGTAAGTTTAAAGGTATAGGGGGAAAATTGATGGAATTCATAGCTGGCTGCAGGCCTTACCAACTGTGAGTGATTTGGGGCAATTTACTCCCTTCCCTGAACTTAAATTTCTTTTTCTGTAAAATGGGAATAATAGTAACCACCTCCCATGGTTATGTGGAGAACACCTTGCCTGGTACCTGGAACATAACAAACATCCAATAAATGTTAATTTATCCCTTTTTCTTTCTTTCTGGAAATCTGGTTCTGAGCAGTGTAATTTGTCAATATTTGAACCATTAAGAACTGGAATATATGAACCCATTTCTTCCTGATTTGCAGAGCTGTCTGCCTAGATATTTAATCATTCTGACTGGTCTTTATCTTAGCTGGAACCTATGGTAAAGTTTAAAAACGGGTCATCCCTTTACCTGATGCTTTATGGTTAACGAAATGATGCTGTGTGGCTCATTGCTTATTCCAGCCAAGACTCACCTTTCCAGGCCTTTTCTGTGGCCCATCCTCCCTGAGAGAAAGGTAGATCACCAGATTCAGTCCCTTCCGAGCCCTACCAAGGCATGTGCTCCTGCAGACTGGCTGAACATTCTTTGAGACTGTGTGAGCATTCTAAAGGGTGACTAAGTTTGCCTCTCTTTCATTTAGCATCACAAATGTACATGAGTAACCCGTGGTGGCAATAAAATATGCGTTCTGGAAGCAGCTTTAGAGTTAAACATTTTCCAAAGACATATAACCCAAATATAGCTGAATTGCTAGCAGTGTTTTTGGTGGTTTTAATTTTCCGGAAGAATCATCTCCATATTTTTGGCCTACTCTGTTTTGTTGGGCTTTATTTGATCTTGAAATTGGGGTGTACTTCCTGATATCAATGGAAGTAACTATAACTAATGCCACACGATACAAGGGCAGGACTAGCCTCATGTACCCTGTGGCGGAATCTTCTGTTTCTTTGAGTAAAATATCCTCCCCTTCTACCAGTTTTCCTCAAGTTTTTGTGAAAAAGTTTCAAACAGATTTTTTAAAGTGGTCTGAGCCTCCTTCTTGTGACTAGAATTTCATCCCTTTTAGTGATGTGAGAATAATATTGTAAAAATTATGACAATAATAAATTTTAACGGTCTTCTTTCAGAATGCCTAGGAACCTTATAAACTTTCCACACTTTTCCTCATTCCAAGCACATTTACATGTCGTTTCAAGTACAGAAGAGAGAGGGGCTTGAGAAATTTTGACTGCTTTTTGCAGCTGTTAGAGTGCTCACCTAAAATTTGTCAAAATTTTGGAATGTGAAGGTTTGTTTTTCTAGGACCATTATAATGCCAGTCCTGACCTTCGCTATGCCAGAAGGAAAAACCATATAGTTTATTATGCCAAATATAGGACCCAGAAGTTTATTTAAGGATCTTCGTAGCTGTACATTTCTAGGAATTTAAATGCAATAACACCTAATTTATCTAATATTGTTGGAGATGTGCTCACTTATGTGAATTTTCCACATAACCGAAGCTATGACTTTAAGTGTCAGAGAATTTGTTTAACCGACCATTTGCTGAAACTCTTTCATAAATACAGTCTTTCTCCCTCTTTCCCTATACTCAGTGACCTGAGGATATTTCATGGTTTGGGGGGGATCATCATACAGAGCTGTTGTTACTTGACTAGAACCAAACTATATCTGGAAGCTAGTGACAGCACCGGGTCACACTCAACAGAAGTAAAACACACCAGAGAGCACTAAAGAGCTACGTGGGTTTTTACTGAATGTTGTCTCCGGGCGTGAGATTCGAGAGGGAATTATTTCTCCCAACACACAGTGTGACTCCTTAAGGATCCTCATTTCCTCTCTCTCTCCCTCCAGAGTCTTAGCATCTGAGCTGCTGTTTATCTCATCTCTTGCCCTTTTCACAAACACTCTCTCTTCTCTTCTCTTCTCTTCTCTCTCTGTGTCTCTCTCCCCACTTCCTTCCCTCCATCCTTCGTTCTGGCCTCTCCCTTCCTCCATCTTTCCCACAGTCCCTGAAGTAGCTTTATACTTGTTTTTAGAAAAAGTGTTCTATTGACTTCTCTTTGCTCAGCCCCACAGAGATGATCTGTGAACCAAACAATACAAATGAAGGATGCTCCTGGGCAGGTGGGGATGGGGGGGCGGGTAGATTGTGATTCCAGAGACTAAAGGAAAGCAAATAGGTCTCTGTCACATGTGGAGGTGTTATTGTTCTTGTTGTTGTTAGTGTCCCTTGTCCCCTACCCCTAATGCTGTCAGAGGATGCCCTTCCTGGCATGCCCTTCAGCTTTCCCCTTTTAATAGATTGCTTCTAATTTGCCAAGATCTGAGAAACCAGATTAGCGAGTTGGTTTTTAAAAACATTAAATGGTATGTAGGGCCAGCCCTGATGGCCTAGTGGTTAAGTTCGGCTCGCTCCATTTCAGTGGCCCAAGTTCACTTCCCAGGCATGAAACTATACCACTCGCCTGTCAGTGGCCATGGTGTG